GTATTTGTGTGTGTATGTGTATGATTTTACCATTGTTTGAAAACTAATTTATATTAACTAAATGATCAATTCACCAACGGGTATTCATATCATGGTTAAGTTTAAAATATTTGTCGTAGTCATGGTATACAACAAAATTCTTGAGATATAAAAATTCTGTCTGTTTTATTTTTATAACATTTTGATTTCAAGAACGTTTGCTAAAAAATTCATTCGGAGTATTTTTTTGTTTGTAATAATATCGTCACTTGAATGAATCAAACCATCTTCATTATTAACATCACTGGCGTCACATCAACTAACATCATCATTAACAGCATCATCATTACCAGCAACATCATCGTCATCATCGTCATTACAACCAACATCATCATCATAAACATCATCATCATCATTACTGTCATCAAAGTAGTTGTAAACTCAATAGCCAACAAATCGATTTGAAGAATAATAAAAATTAAAAATTAATTAGCTGATAATCATTAATCATAATTAATCATGATAATGATTAATCAGTGAAGCAAAGGACTCATTTCTACATTCTGCAGCAACAAATTTAAAATAAACTTTGCTTTAATTACTATCAACTTCGTCTTCTTAGTTATAATTATCGTCAATTATTATCGATCAATAACTCCTTTGTTTGTCACTTTCTGTCACTCAATTACTTAATCACTTTGACGAAGCGAGTCACTTCAACACGGACAAGCAAATTGCAAAGTAATACAAAAAAAACCAAAGATAATTCAAACATTCACTTTGCCGTCAAGTAACCTTCACGAGGCAGTTGTAGGATATATAAGGAGAGTCCTTCAGCGTTTATCAGTCATTTCCAGTTGGAAGCATCTCAGCGAACAACTCGTGCACATTTTTAAACGGACATTTTAGTTCATCTGCTGTTCCTACTTTCTAGTGCAAATAATTTTCAGTCGAGTGGCCAGCAAATCTTTCCAAGTGATAATTTTTGAGTCAACTGTAGAGCGAAATAATCTTGTTGAAGAAAATGTATAAAAAAGGAAGTGCCATGTCACTGAGACGCTGTGAGTTCCAGGCAGAAAGACCAAAGTTGCGAAGCATGTTCGACATTCAGACAGCCGAATTCAAAACCTACATGCTCACCAAACCTTGCGAGCACCGAACTGTCTTGGAGCAAATGAGGGAGCAAAAATTTCTTGAGGAGGCATCAGTCAGGGCAGTCTCCGAACCCTCGCCTTTCGTCGAATGGTGCCCCCCTTCACCAAGCAATTTCAACCTGCCCACCAACTATGACGTGAACGAATCCTCCTACGAAGCTCTGGGTTGTATCATCAAGGGAAAGAAGAAAACGATGCTGAACCTGGAGAGGTCTCTGGAAAACAACCTCGGAAGAGCAACTAAAATCTGCTTCGACGAGGCAGAGGAAAACGAGGAGGAAGTTGGAAAGGGGAGTGGTGGTGGAGTTGTAGCGGAAGTGGATGGGAGCACTGATGTCGTGCAAAGTGTTGAAGAGATGGAACGAAACTTGATTCAATCTTTAGAAAACAAAAAAGTTCAACCCGGCCAGTCCAAGATTTTAATGACGGAAGAAATTATAGCGGACGAGGCCTGGAGGCGACAGAGGTGGCCAATGCAGCCCCTCTACCACTCCACCCCATGCCACAAATTGGACCACCTCCCTCCACTTCAGGACAACTTTATCAGGAACATCCCAGCAATCCTGAACAAACCCCCAATGCGCTCCCAGTGGAATAACAAGAACATTGCAAGAAGGATGTTGTGAGGTGGATGACACACCATCAGTTGTTCTACCACATTATTAACTCACACATAATTCGTTCATATTTATCTATTACTTTTACTTAGTGATCAAACTTTATCTACTTGGTTTTAATGTAAGGTTCAATTAACTTTTATTTATTTTTTAATTTTTATTCCTTATTTTTATTTACAGTAGTTTAAACAGTGGAAAAATAAATTTTGTTCATTCATAACTCGTGTTTTTGCGTGTGGTTTGCGATATAATTTAAAATATTTTAGGAATCGAACTATAGCACATAAACTCGTTTAAGCAATAGAAACCCGTCATAACGTCCTTATTTATCATATCAATTAAAATCGTTTAATCATCATCGTCGTCGTCATCATCTTCGTCTTCATTTAAATGTTAATTCTAAACGCTTAATTAATAGTTCAATTGTAAATTGAAATTGGCCAAATGAAAATTTATTCAAAATAAATAATTCATGATTCTCAAAAAATTAAAAATACTCTCCAGACGGGCCAAAAATATTTAGCACACATTGAAAGAGTAACAGAATTTTTTAATTAAATTAACTCAGAACTTGTTTTAAAATATTCAAAATCAATTTATATAAACTAAATATACATGAAGATATTAATGATACACACACATACATACATGCACACGCACAGATTCAACAAACATGTAACACATGCAAAAAAGCATGCATGTGTTCTAAAAACGTGAATGATGTGATAGCAAATCTTACGATGAAGATTATGATGTGACATTGATAACAATGATGAAAGCAATGATGGTGGAAAATTATAAAGATGGCTTTCATCACTGGTGACATCAACTCAACAAAATCATCCCAAAATAGACATCTTCTAAAACTGCTGCTGCTACTACTACTACTACTACTGCTGCTGCTGCTGCTGCTGCTTCTACTTCTACTACTACTTCTATACTACTACTACTACTACTTCTACTACTGCTTCTACTGCTACTACTTCTACTACTACTACTACTGCTACTACTGCTACTACTGCTATACTACTGCCACTACTACTAACGAAACGACCACAACAGCAACAAAAACCAAACAACTACATCAAATGTGGTTGAGACAGCATTCCAAAAAGTCATCCATGCGTTTCATCGATCAACTTTTAAAAGTCTGCAAGTGGCAACCTATTTATACATTACATACGCATGTACTCATATACATACTCTCTTTCTCTTTCTCTCTCTCTCTCTCTCTCTCTCTCTCACTGTTTCTCTCTTTCTTTAAATGCATATATATTCTCTAATTATATTATCTCCCACTCTCTTCTGTCTTTCTTTCGTTCTCCCTTTCTCTTTTCTCTCTCTCTCTCCTCTCCTCTCTTCTCTCTCTCTTTGCTAGTATGTCATTTAGTCTGTCATGGTTTGTTGTTGATGAATAAAATCGTCGAATTATAAATGCTAGCTCTCAACTGTCACGTTTAGAATATTCAATTTCACGGTGCAGCGGTTGTTATATTATTAATACTTAAAATTTAAATTTAATTTTCAGCATTTATAGAATGTTCGCCGTGCGCTATATCATGAGAATGTTAGTTAAGCGCTATACATTAAAGATTATTTGAAATTTAATTTGAAGTTATAAGGTTTCAAGAGTGATAGTTCAATCTTAGAATTATGGTTTCACAGTGTGTTAAAGTAATAACACACACACACATACATACATACACACACATACGTACACACACATACGTACACACACTTATACAAACACACACACATACACGCACATGCATAAAAACATGCACAAACGTTAATGCACAATTGTAAAATTTAACGCTCTTACAGATCGTTATATTTACCTATTGTAATAACTGTTGCTTTGTCGATGTTGTTTGTTGTTATTATTAACTTTATTATCATTGTTTTATTGCCGTTGTTGGCCACGATGATTTCAGATGATGTTGGTGTTGCTGTCGGTGAGTGTAGTTGTTTATTTACTAGATATATGTACTAGAAAAGTATGCTAAAATTTAACGGCACACTTTGAATTGAAATTCTTGTAAATTTATTCTTCTATAATCTATATGACATTTCTAAAATAAAATTTAAAAAGTTTTTTTGTAGCGTTACTACTACTACTGCTGCCACTACTACTACGACGATTACTACTAATACTACACTAGTGCTGCTACTACTACTAATACTGTTGCTACTACTACTACTACTTCTACAACAACTACTACTACTACTACTGATACTATAACTACTACTACTTTTGCGTCTACATACTTAGCATACTTAACAACAATTAATTCAGAGTAAAAACAATTTGCTAAAAAAAACTTGCATTGCACAACTGAACTAACAACATTGACAAATCAAGCTGATGTTTGTTGAAAGCAAACATTTGCAATTATGAAAAATTTAAAAAAATTTTAAATATTGATTCGGTAAGCTTTTTTCTAAACTTTATATATCGCAGGTAATTAATTTTCCAGTAAAATCTTGATAAAATTTGTTAACCGCCTGATCAGATATTTTGTTTAATTTCATGTAGAACATAATTTCTATCCTAAAATTAATCATTAGAATACTAAATTTTCCCGATAAAAATGTTCAATCATTGTTTGGCCAGACTCAAATGCAATCTATAGTACACTTATGAAACAACGAACTCACAGTACAAAAGAATACAGATTCAATGAATGATCATTCATTTCGTGCTTCATGCCTTAAATCTTCAAAGCACAATCTTTAGGTAACAAATATTATTTAAAAAACAAGAAAAAGTGAGTGAGAGAGAGAGAGAGAGAAGAAGAGAAAAAGAAAAATAACACGACAAAGTTTGAGAGTTAGAGAGGTGAAAAGACGAGAGAGTGATAGGTAGAGAGAGAGAGAGAAAGAGAGAGAGAGAGAGAGAGAGAAAGAGAGAGAGAGAGAGAGAGAGAGAAAGACAGAGAGAGAGAAAAAAACAGAAACAGAGAGAAAAAAAACAAAAAAAATATTTTACTCATAAAACAGAGTAGAACAAAGAAATAAAAATATTAAAGCAATAGAACTTTTAAATGCAATCTAATAATAGCCTACCTATCAGCAGAGGTCCAAGTTATAAAGTGAAGTTTAAACTAGCTCCCGTTGCTACTACTACTACTGCTGCTATTGCGGCTACCACTACTACTACTGCTGCTGCTACTGTGGCTACTACTACATCTGCTAGTACTACTAGCGTTGTTGATACTACTTTTACTAGTACTGTACTACTAAAACTGCTTCAACTACTTATGCCAGTAGCACTATTAATATGAAAAATAACAACTTTAATAATTTATTTTTTAGTATTCTTTTTTATTATTATAACAATAATTAATAATATTAATAATAATTTCTACTACTTGACTATAATTATTATTATTTATTCTGTTATATTCCAGCAGACAATGCTAAGCTTACGACGATATTTTATTGCAGTTTCTTGGCTTATCATTGTTAACTAGATGTAAATTATTAATAAGAAATAATAATAATTATAATAAATACTACTACTGATATTGCTACCACTACTACTACTACAACTACTACTACTATTACTACTACTACTACGACTACTACTACTACTACTACTACTACTACTACTACCAATAATAATAATAATAATAATAATAATAATAATAATAATAATAGCATGATGATGATGAGGATAATGTTAACCATTATAAGATATGTATTCTTTCTTCACTTTCTCGTCAGCCAATATATTTCTGCTTAAAATTTTGAATGTACGTGTTGTGTTTGTATGTGCGAACACAAAACACCCACACACACAACACACTCACACACACATATACATATACAAACACATACACACAAACACACGCACACACATACACAATTGCAGTGTGCGGATTTGATGGCAAAGAGATAGATCTCTGCCTGTTAAATGCAATGCTTTTGTGATGCCATGTTCTACGTATGCGTTCGCTGTTGATGCTTCTGAATGATAGTAACGAAAGAATTGTTATAAATAGTCATAGTTAAATACACACATACATACATACACACACACACACACACACACAAACATTCACATACATATCTATAGTACCCAGTACACCAGTATATAAACACATAAACACACGTACATAAACACGAACACACACACACACATATACTTACACATACACATATACAAACACTCATTCACATATGCCTACATAAGCAGACAAACACACTAATAAATACAAAGAACCGATAGTTCTGAAGAATAATAATAATATCTTATTTAAGCGTGTGTACATACATACATACATGTAAACATACACACATGCATGCAAACAAACCTTCATACATATGGATATACAGACACACACATACACGAATATACACACTAAAGTACAGACAAAGTTTTAAATCTTATGTGCAAATAATTACCACTACACATACGAACATAATACACACACACACACACACACACACACACACACACACACACACACACACACACACACACACACACACACACACACACACACACACACACACACACACACACACACACACGTACACATATGCCTACATACATTGACCCATAAATTCACACATACATTCACACATATATACAAACATTTAAAAACGTGACTGTGTTCATGTATGTATGTGTATATTTAAATAAAATTATATATATATATATATATATATATATATAAAACACATATACATATATATATATATATATATATATATATATATATATGCGTCGTGTTGTCGTTGTGTGTGTGGGTGTGCATCAAACAACGTCATGAGTTTGTGTGCGTGTGTGTATACGTATTTTTTTTCCAAAAAAAATTTATGTGTGTAAGAAGTATTTATGTATGTGTGTTTGTTTGTATGCATGTATGTATGTATGTGTGTGTGTGTTTGTGTGTTGATGTGTTTGTATATGTGTTATTATGCATTTGTGCTTGTTTGTACGTATATGTATGTTTACTTTGTTTATATGTGTATATGCGTATGTGTGTGTGCGTGTGTCAATGTATGGAATCAATTGTGAAATTCACTAGAACTTAAAAACTACATTTCAACCAACTAAATAGAATTATACGATTTTATTCATGTACATATATATGCACATACGTGTGTGCTTATGTGTATTTTTGCTTTTTGTGATCGTGTCAAGATGTGTGTGCGTGCGCGTGTGTGCGTGCGTTTGTGTGTGTGCGTGCGTGTGTGTGTTAGTTGTGGC